GCCGTCACCGGTAAATTTTCGTTCCCATTCTCCTTATTTTCTTTCAACAGCCGCACACTCTCATCTCTTTTCTAAATTAATAGTTAACTAAACCGGTAAAACCCACTAACTTATTCTTTTAATACCTGACCGTAATACTATAGAGTTTTAAACAAATGGACACTTTAGCCCACTAACTATGGATTAATTCAATTATCTACAATTATTCTTCAATTAAACAACTTCGGTTACCCAAACTTGGTCATTACATATTCATGAATTTATGATTTATTTTAGAGTCAATTCCCTAAGTGGTCATCCAAGTTAAGAGAATTGCCTTGAAATATCATTTATGTTGTTTCATTTAGGACCAAAATATCACCTAACTATCACTATTTTCCTCCAAATATACTTGACTCTTTAAAAGCATCACTCTCTCCTATTTGGCATGACATGTCATTAAAGTCTTTTTTAATAATAGATTAATTTAATTTATTAAACTCATTTAACTAAAATAACGATCATATTATTTTTAAGTTTTTAATTAATTTATTAAGAATACATTTTCATACTTCAATTTTTTATTTTTGATGTTATGCAAAATACGTTTTTAAAAAACGCACTATAATCTCATCAATATGATCATTATTTTAGCTAAATGGGTCCAATGAATTAAAATTAGTCTATAAGTGAAAAAAAGACTTTAATGACATGTCATGCCAACTAGGAGAGAGTGATGATTTTGAAGTGATAAATATATTTGGAGGAAAATAGTGATAGTTGAGTGATATTTTGGTCCTAAATGAAATGTAAATGATATTTCAAGATAATTCTCTTAACTTGGGTGACCATTTACGGAATTGACTCTTTATATATATATATATATATATATATATATATATATATATATATATATATATATATATATATATATATATATATATAGGTCGGTCCGTCCTTGGTCACAATTTAATATTTTAATAATTTAATATTTAATTATAAAATTTTCTATTTACTTCTATATAAATCATTTATAGCAACACAAATAGTCCATGAATATTTCGAACCACAAATATATAAAGATAATTTTTTTCTTAAACTTTGTACTAAAGTCAAATAGTATCACATAAATTAAGGCAAAAAGAATAATAGCCAAAAGTTCAAAAAGAAGAAGACGTATTTGGTATATTAATTTAACTATTTAAGGGTGGCACTGGATCGGGCAATCAAGCTGATTCACTAACTACGGAATGTGGTAGCTCTGTGTTTGGTTTGGATATAGGCTTGGGATTACCGGATCCTACCGATCTGAGTTTTATTAGATTTGATGTAACTTGTGCAATTCTGGGCCATATTGGTCTTGGTTTCAACTAAATTTTATTTTTAAATAAATATTTTAAAAGTTTTTTTAAGTACTTCATGAATGTTTAATATAATTTAAATTTTAAACTATACATTCGAGCAGGCTTGCTTAATCCAGTACCATGAAAACACAAATAGTATAAGTCAATCATTTCGATTATCGATTGAGGTTTATGCTCGGCTGGTTTCAGATCATCAAGGTGAACTGACACGTCACGACCCATAAATCTTGGGTTAGATCAATATAAGCTACTACTAGATCTGATTCGATCCTAGAATGAATCAACCTAATTGACACTCTTAGATTACTTTAGGACCGTGCACAAAGATCTTGTGATGAATCAACATGAAAATCATGTTTCCTGTGTTTGTACCTTGTTTTATGGGTGGGGGGATCCACAAAGCAAATCAAAAACAAAAAAAATACATTGCATATATAGGGTTAAAATTTTATTTTATTTATATATTAAATGTTGAATCTCATTGACACAAAGAATATCAAATATGTAATAGTTATAGTAGTTTTGTGACATCTTTCATCAAAGAAATAACTCTTTTCCTTGTGTTCAACTCTCCATTTACGTATCTAAGTTCGAGTGAAACTACTATTTGTTTTTGAAAGCTATTTCGTTCAATTTCTCCAACTCATTTCATGGAACTCCTCCGATATTGATTCTAAAGCTAGGATAGCAAAATTGTAAAGGATTTTCAAATTTTCTCAAAAATCATTTTAAAATAATTCAAAGACTTGATATAAACCTAACGTGTAAATTCATTAAATTCAAGAGCTCTCTGAGGCCTAAGTAATGGTCCAAATGCTACAAAAACCAAGAAAATGAAAATGACATTTGGCTTTCTAGGGAAGGAGCAATAAAAATGATATTTTTTTAAAAAAAATTAATTTTCAATATTATTAATTAGATATATTTTGTCTTAAATTTCAAGAGGATTATAGATAAAATTATTTCAACTCTTTTCATAAAAGTAATATAATTAAGTTTCCTAACATAAAAATTACAAAACTTTCACCCTAATAACATAAAAATCACTATTACTGGAAAATTCATTTTTTGATTAATCAGTGATGTATAATATCATAATTATGTGATCATCGATTTATTTAAAGTTGAAATAACTATTAAATCCCTACACTAACTATTTCTCAAGAATATTATGTACAATGTTAGAAATTCATAAATAAAATTGTCATTTTTATGATTTAGTACACTATAACAGTAAACCTAAAGATCTTCATCTCAATGATAATGTTTCAAACAATTAAGGACCACTATCCTAGTCTCAAATTTTATATTGTTTTAGTAAAATAACACTTCAGATAGTCGTATGACTTATATTTTACTAGTATTAAAGAAAATATTTAAACGCAACCTCTATATTTGTATGACGGAGTTGATATAATTAGTCGCGTTGGTGGTGGTCCTAGTCATGGCCGATTAGTAGTAATATTACTGGCTAAGCTAGAAACAAAGACAATTAAAAGGATGGGGGACCGGGGGGTGAAGGATATGATATGGACGGATATATATTTACTATTATTTTTCTGTTTCTTTGATTCTATTATTGTTGTCTAATTTGTTTTGATTATCATATTATTGATTACTGCTACTGCAATTTTTCTCCATTTTATTCTTTATAACCTTCCACTTCATTTTTCTTTTTTATTTTAAAAAATGATTTTGATATTCTGAATTTGTGTCAAAGGTCTATTATAAACAATCTTTTTATCTTTACATGTACTATCCGAATCAACTCCTTAAATGATAAAATTGCTTAAACGATACCTAAACATATAATTATTTAAACATTTGTAGTATAGAAGAAAAGAAACCATTTTATCATCGATCCCCCCTCCTCCCTAGCAATTTTGGTATTTTAATGTTCATGTGACCAATAGTTTTCTTTAGCCAATTTTGACAATTACTTTAATGTGATCAATAATAGTTTTCTTCATAAACTAGAAGCAAGTGCATATTAGGTAATAGTATGTAGATATTATTGTTATTAGTGTTTTATTTAATATTTGGGATTGAGTGTTATTTAGACACTTCACTAGCAATAGGGTTAATTGAGGTAAATGAAAGCAACAAGTAACAAATTAACTAAATATTGGCTGCTATCAGTGGTCAAGGTTCAATTTGATCTTTTAAATCTTATCAAAGTTATACTAATTAATTAGGATTTCCCTCTGAAATATGATTATAAAAGTTAAAAATTAAAAGCTGAAATTATATAATATAATAAAATGTTATTCACTTACTATTGTAAGTTTACCTGTTATTATTAGAATTATAGATAAGAGAAAACGTTGATAAATGGGAAACAAGCTTCGCAGAAATGAACTAGTAATAGAATTGTGCAATACTATAGCATCAATATTTTATACTTAGAGATTAGAATTATAGATAAATGTAAACTATATATTATTACCTTAAGTTTAATAAATTTTATGCAAAATCAATGTAATGTACCAGTTTAAATTTGAATCATAGACTTCACTACTTATGAGAGTTTTTTTCCCAAATGAATAATAGTTATTCATGTGTCTTGAACATCATCAAATTATCGTTCACTCAAGTCTTTATCGTATCTAAATATATTTTTTTAGTAAAAACTTTATATATATATTTCATTTGTCATTTTCACTTGAAAATCATGAACTTTTGCACCAACTTTTGTATTAATGTGTCATGATTGTGACTATCAACAATATAGCAGGTCCTTTTTAAAGTATAATGATAATAATACACCTATATATAGTAGATATAGATAAAATAAATTGAAGTGTTCATGATAGAATTTTACTAATATATATATATATATATTCTGTAGCTAAAACACTACTTATAGGGGAACATATAGTGCATCACTCCAACTTGTATTTTTCTTGGATATTTGCTCTTCAACTAGTTTACTTTTTGTGTTATCCAATAACTCAATTATCATGTGGTTGTAAAATTTGAAATTAACGTGCAAGTAAATTGTACTTTTATACTATTAATATAAAGAGTGATACTATAAGAAGAAAAAAAGATATGAAATAAATTAACAAATTTAACATACATGAGGGGCTAAAAGAGTAACGAGTACAATTACAAATATCGGGCGAATGAAAGTCACGTTATTACAAGTTTACTTCTTTGATGATTCAAACATACGACTTTAAGATTGTAGGTACTTAACGTCTATGAATCAGTCCGAGAAAAGAGAGATTATGAAATTGCATAAAAAAAATTAGACTTTTTTCTCTGATAAACTACTTAAAGGTTAATATGACTTATAGGCAAAGATCCACCTATAAAATGTCCCATTCCAATTCCATTTTAGAGTTATTTGACGTATCGAGCGATCCTTGTCAGTGATGGAAATAAAAAAATTTATAATGGAATTCAAAATACAAAAATTTAATACAAAATATTACAAGATAATAAATCGAAGATGAAAACAAAAGAAAAGACTAATCTTAACCCGCTTTTACACTTTGTTGTCATTTATAAAAATGTACCCATGTTATTTTTGATAAAAATTCTTATGCATTTTAAGTTGTAAGGATTAAATTTGAAGAATAAAACAAAAAATAATATCTTCTTCATATTATTAAAAAATCGCTTATTTTGGATTGTATTTTCACAAAATGAAAAGTTTACAAAAGTCACAAAATGATTCCCTCCAAATAAGAGAAGATGAAAAAAGAAGAAGGAATATCATAACTAAGCTAAGAATTAAAATGTTACTACAATTACATATTACCAAGGTAAGTAAATGATAGAAAAAATCAATCAAATGAAGATGACATATAGGTGTCCAACAAAAGAGTCTTTAAAAATGACATTTTATAAATGTATGCAAAAAATTAAACGTGTAAGAAAGAGTAAAAGGTTACTACAATATAAAGGATGGGGTTGTTAAGCTTGGACAATATTAAGAAAAAGTAAAACTCTTCCACTATCAAGAAGAATTGCTGCCAATTTATCAACTTTGCAATGGCCATCACAAATAGTTTTTACGGTATCTTTCTTTATATCTCTAGATTGTACTTGTAATTCTTATTCATAAAATCATCAGACTTTTTTTTTAATGCAGGGTATATAATGATGTTATTCGCTATAACTATAGTTGTATGTGTTGAAAGTCAATTGCAAACATTTTATAACGCGATTGTTTCTAAAGATGGGACCGGAAATTTCAATACAATTGTTGGAGCAATATTGGCGGCCCCTGATCACAGTGTCAAGCCATTCTTCATAAAGATTAAGAAAGACACGTATGAGGAATATATTAGAGTTGAAAAAAAGAAGATTAATATAGTCTTGATCGGAGAAGGGATGGATAATACGATAATAACCGGTAATAGAAGTTTTGTTGACGGCAACAAAACATATGATACCGCAACCGTTGGTAAGTCCCTCTCTCTCTATATATATATAATTTTATCAAGACACTTTATATGCAAAAAAGCAACGTCAATTCTACCGTGATTGTGAAATCTATGGCACGGTAGATTTCATATGTGGTGATGCTATAGCAGTGTTCTAAAACTGTTTGATTGAAGCTCGCACTCCAATGGCGAGGCAATATAACACAATCATAGAGCAACAAAGAGAGATTGAGTCCTCCAAATCTGGAATAGTGCTTCAAAATTGCACGATAAAAGCTACCCCCGATTTGAAGAAATCGGACGTCACGACATATTTAGGTCGGCCATGGGGTATATTTCTAGGACTGTGATAATGGAAAGCTATATCGATGATTTGATAGATCCTAGAGGATGGGTTGAGTGGATTGAATCAGCAAATAAATTCAGTATTATTCGTCGACCATATTATTTAGAGTACAAAAATAGAGGACCAGGTGCTGTCACGAAGGGACGGGTGACATGGGCATCCGTCACTACGGATCCTAATATTGCATCAACTTTTACCGTTAGAAATTTTATAAATGGTGACCGGTGGATTCCCACCAATATCCCTCATTACCTAGATTTATCTTGAATAACAATAGGTTGTATTATATTCCTAGTAATTTATAAAAATAGTACTACTATGTATGTGTCTTGTTTGTTCAAATGAATATGATTATCTGATTTGTCTTTTAAGTAATTCATTGTTGCTAGTCTTTAAGTATTCATTGTTGTCATTGTCTAACTAGTTTACTTAACATTAAATCACCAAAAAGAACATAACGTATTGTGTCAAAACTTACACATTCATATTATTTCAAGTTGAAAAATAATTAAATATAAAAATCTCAATAATAATTGTTACTTGGCAATTTAATCTGAATTAAAATTTCAAAAATTGGGATTCAGGGAAACTTGTTATTCAAAAATATTCACAATATTCGATCATTTTGGGGCTGTAATCTGTTGGTATATGCTTTGGGCTTTAGCGCAAATTCTGCTTCTGCTGAGCCCTTTTGATGTACAACAACCATTTTGACTGTTTATGGGCTATATGAATTAGATTCAATGGACATATTATTTTTTTTTTCCGAATAGGTCCATCCGAATTTAATTGAAATTTCAATGTGGATTTAAATCGATATAAATTCTCTTTTAATAATTAGTCATGAACATAGATAGATTATACATCAATAAACTATATGTGTATTGTCCTATAAAAATAAGAAGACTATATTATTAACATAATAAATAACTATGAAGGTAATTAAAGTGCAGAGAAAGCCAAATAACTCGTAAATAAACCTTAGCATAAATCAGAATTACTCATGAAAGCATCTTATAAGTTAAAACAGAATGCTGAATTTCTGATTACATATTAATTTTTTATTTGATCTAGCAAAGTAATGGTTAAACCAATAAAATTCATAAAATCATTATCTATTTTTTTAATTGGGGATATTCTGACAGGTGGTTCAGCAAATGAATCTTCACAAGTCTCTGGAGCACTCGCAATAGCAGAAGTTGAAGTGCTCACCCCGAAAATGTCATTTGCATCAAAATATTTAAGTGCTAATGTAGCATCATCTATCGCACTGTCATAATTTTCCTTACAAACTTGAAGGGATTGTAAAATAATGGGCTCTTTTACTTGCTCTAGTAGACTTACAATCTTATTGTAAATACTTTTTGTCTTTCTTAAACATTGTTGAAGTAGAATACGTGCCAAACCTTTTTTATCAGCGAAAGAGCTCTTAGGGTCCGCTCTAAGAGCATCGATGCAAGTTTTATAATCACTAGACCTTCGACAAACATCTTCTATCAAATCTCCCGATGAAAAAGTTACGAAAAAAAGAAAAAGCATGAAAATAAGTGATAATGCTTTCACGAAATTCATCTTCAGTTATACTTGTATTTTTTGAGTCATATGTCAAGTGGTTCTTATAGCTATATCAATACATATTCATATTATTTATTTTCCATAAAAGACTGTAGATATTATTGGGTAAAGATTGTGGTAATTACATCATTTCCTTTCGAAATAAAGTAGCATTAATAAGTATCCTCTTTTTATTTAGAGATGGAAATAATTTAATATTAATTCACTCAAATATGATTTTGAAATAAAGTAGCAATAGTAAGTATCCTCTTTTTATTTAGGCAGGAAATAATTTAATATAAGTTCACTCTTAATATGATTTTCAATCAATCTTTTTCTTCATTAGCATTATTTTTATATCAATTAAGACATTGATTATATTCATTGCCTTAATAAGCTTTTCCTAATAAGGAAATTTGGAGAGGTCAAACGGTTTTCTCAACTTTAATATGGTCATTTGGTCAAAAGCTTTGATGACACAATTACAATTGATTTTGTCTTTCGGGTGAAATACGTAGCTAGTGGAGTATGACATTGAATAGAATGCAGACTGCTAAAGGAACAACACTTGTGCTACTTGCAGACAGTTATACAAAAAGAGATCAGATCACCTTTCAATCCTAATAGTATTGTATGTTGTTAGAAGTGAATGTGATATTTGCCCCAAATTTTACCACAATCATATTTCTTTATAAAATTGTCACTCTGTCAATCGACAACAAAAAATATTTTTCTTCGTAATATATTAAATTGTTAACTTAGACTCGAGATCTAATATAGTAAATTAGCGAATGCAATAAAAACATACCGTAAAAATGGTTGAACTTCTTCGCAATTTCTCAAGACATAAAGATGAGCTTGTTTTCTCTCTAAATCTATAAGATTTCTAGATGCCTCTCTTAATAAAGGAGAACCGTTTCTTTCAAATGCGGATAGTCCACTATATGTCGTAGTATGATCATCTTCATAATTGTTATCCTTCGTTCATATCCTTTCACATTTCCAGGTAAGTACATTGAACAAAATATTATACTTTCTTCAACAATATACCCTTCAGCAATAGATCCTTCAGGTTGATTTCTATTACGAACATAACATTTCAATGTGCATAAAAATCTGCAAAATACAACAAGATACCACTCAAATTAGAATGATAAAATTAACAGACCACATAAAATTAAATGAAAATTATAAATTAAAAACATACCACTCAATTGGGTACATCCACCTATATTGTACATGTCCACCAAGTTTAACCTCTCTTGGAAGATGAATGACTAAGTGTACCATAACATCAAAAAAATGTCGATAGAAATATTTTTTTCTAATTTGCTCAATGTTATCGAAATCTGAATTTCAAGTTGGTTAAACACATCAACCCTTAATGTTTTCGAACACAATTTTTTAAAGAAAATACTTAACTCAAAAATAGCATCATATACATTATTTGGCAAGACTCCGCGAATTGCAAAAGGAAGCATTTGTTCCAACAGAATATGAGAATCATGACTCTTCAGTCCATAATTTTTTCGATCTTCTGACTTCACCCACTGTGATATATTAGAAGAATAATCATTTGGAACCTTAATCATTTTCAAGAAATTGCATACTTTGGACTTCTCATCTGCTGATAAAGAATAACATGCTGCCGGATAACACCAGCTTCCATCCCTTTGAGTTGGATGAAACTCACTTCTTTTACCCATTTTCTTCAAATCGTGGCGAGCATTCAAATTATCTTTTGTTTTTCCTTCAATATCTACAAATGTCCTAATGATATTATCGCACACATTTTTCTCAATATGCATCACATCTAAATTATGACGTATTAAATTATTTTTCCAATAAGGAATCTTGAAAAAGATGTTTTTCTTCCTCCAGTTATGAATGTCTTTACTTCTTTTGTACTTCTTTTTTTTTTAGTCTTACCAAATTTCACGTCCTCTAGAGTAAGCAATTGGTCTAAAACATCCTTTCCAGAAAGAGCTTCTAGGGCAGATCTTCTTTCTACTTTTTCATCAAAATCACGTTTATTACTTCGCCACTTATGATTAGATGATAAAAATTTACGAACACCCACATAAAAAAACTTACGACCATACCTTAAGTATACATCAATATCATTTCTAGGAGCTTTAGGACCAGGTATCAACAAAGATAAGAAACAATATGGTTTCTTCATGCACATCCAAGGGGGTAAGTTGTAAAACAGTAGTGATCACTTGCCAAGTGCTGTGAGAAACACTTAAATTACCAAAAGGATTTATCCCATCAGATGCTAAACCAAGTCTAACATTACGAGGATCTCTAGCAAAGCCCGGATTCAATGTATCAAAATGTTTCCATGCTTCTAAGTCTGCAAGTGTCTAAGAACCCCATCTTTTGAATGTCGATCATGATTCCATGTCATATCTGAAGCTATTTATGGTGATATAAATAACCTTTGCAATCTTGGTTTCAAGGGAAAGTAACGTAACACTTTTCGAGGAACTTTTTTACCAGTTTTTCCTTGAGTATTTCCATTAGTATTTTGACCTTCAACTGATCTCTACCTAGACTCCCCACAAATCAAGCAGGATTCAGCTTTTGCATTATGTTTCCAAGATAACATACAATCATTCTCGCAAGCATGTATCCTTTCATAATGAAGACCTAACTTTTGAATCACTTTTTTTTCTCCATAAAATGACTCTGGTAAAGTTTCACCTGAAGGAAGTACTCGTTTAAATAACTTTAGTATGTTATCAACAACTTTACCACTCAACCCATAAAGACACTTAATTTGGAACAGTTCCACGATTAGTGATAACTTGGAGAATGTCTCGCAACCAGGATAAAGTTGTTGTGCAACATCCTCCAATAATTTGGAAAATGTGGAAGTTGATTCTGAAGCATCACCATGTTTATACTTGACCCCACAAGAATCATTGGTGATTTCATGACCAACAACATCATATATCATTTCAAACATATCATCACCTCACTCTTTTCTTTTCTTTTGAGAAGGAACAACTGGTTCCTTTCCTTTCTCCTCTTGATTGACATTTTATTTTTTAGGTGCAAATTCTCCATGATAAAAACATGTGTATCCTTGAACAACACCAAAATTATTGGATGTTCCTTGACTTCATCTCTAGACTTGTGGAAAACATTATTGCATTTCTTACAAGGACAAGGAATTTCATCTTCTAGTTCTCTGATTACTTAAATGCAAATTGAAGAAAACTATCAACTCTTTTTAAGTAAACGTCGCTCGATCTATCAGTACGACGCATCCAAGACTTGTCCAATTCATATTTCCTACAAAGAAACATAAATACAGAAATATATTGTTAGCATCGGTTCCCTGGTACACAACCTATTACGACGAAGGCAGTCATCTGATAAAACTATGTCATGACGCAGTGAGGTTTGTTTCATCCTCAAAGGGGCTATCGTGTTTCCAGGAAAAAATTAGGGAAGCCCTGCATTGACTGTCTCAGTCATTCTCCAGATTTATTTGAACACTTGATCGAGGATCGAGAGAAAGTTCCTTACTACCATGAATATCCTAAGCGGCCAAACTTTTTTTTTCCTTGACCGAGTCTATACCAGACAATGATTGTAGAATATGAGAGAGTTGGTTAGGTTACAGTGCTTAAAATTTGTAGAAGACAAATTTGTTACTCTTGATGTCGACGATGTAGGAGCAAACGAGAATGAGGCTGAGCCTTGAACAAGTTTGGGAGATTCTTTATGGATTTAGTGATTTAGTAACTGTACATATATTTTTTTTTCTTTTTGATTGATATGTATATGTCAAATTTGCATAATATACTATAATATTTTATAATTTTCCGTTTTAATTTATTAGACTTGATTTAACTTGATGCCAAATTTTAAAAAATTAAATAAATATTTGAATTTTGTGAATTTGAGTTATACTATCGAATGTATTTATTTTAAATAGATTGTAAAAGAAAAAATAGGTCAAAAAAATTAAAACAAAAAGAGTATCTGTTTCAGTTGTTACATATACTAGTATATGTGATTTTTTGTTCATGAAAATAAAAAAATTATTTAACTTTATTTGATAATTTTGAAATCTAAAGTAGGAATTGGAGTTGTGTTTGATGATAATATTTGCATTTGGATTTAATTTTTTTAATAAATGTAATTTATACCCTCAATTTGTAAAATAAAATAAAAGTAAAAAAATAAAACACCTCTTGAGATATTTTTCAGAACTTCAAATATAACTTCAATTTCATATTTGATAACTGTATAGTCAAAAAGAAATTATAAAGTGAATAAATTATTTGAAATAAAATATTGATAGCCGAACGCTAAATTAATTAAATAAAATTTAACCATGTACCTAACCTATGCTTTTTAAGAAACGGACTTCAGTTCACCTCAATTATATTTACCTTTGCTAGGTCAAAACTCAAAAGTATGGACTCGATTGAAACGGCTCGACTCCACTTGTGTGACTCGCTTTCTATATATATATATATATAACACACTTGGGTAGTTGAGATTCAATATGGACTAATATTGTATATAGTTTAGATTCGCTTAATTCGATATCCATATCTGTTTTTGATTAATTATTCAAAAACTAATATTTGATAAAAACCTATTATATCAAAAAGACATATTTCATCGTAATTATAAATGTTTTTCAATTAAATTCAGTTTTACAAACATATATACTTGTATTTTTAATATGGTATCTCTATAATA